TTTGCCCAGACACACCTGGCCTGCGGGTGCGAACTCTCCCTGATGGAGCCTGACCGGACCCGCTGCCTGCCAAGCCTCTGCCAGGGACTCGGGGTGGGGGGGTCTGGCTGCCCCCTGCTTTCCCTTTGGTATTTTCCAGTAGCTTGACTGAGTCACTTGCAACCAGCGTCCCTCATTTCATTCTGGAATCTATTTTACCCCGTAGCAGGGCTGAGAATGATCTATGGAGAGCCACCGTGTGCCAGCCCAGCGCAGAGCACTATCCCTCTGCCTTGTTGACCCCCACACCAGCCCTGCAAGGTGAAGATTGAGCCCCATATTACAGATGGTGAAACTGAGGCTCCGGGAGCACGAGTAACTTTTCCTAGATGACCCAGAGGGTAAGAGGCATTACTGGGATTGAGTTAAAGTCCGTGTGACCCAAAGTCTTTGCTTGGAGCTGGCTCTTTGGCTCACTCCTATTCCTGGGCTGTCCCCACCAGCCAGTCCTGGTGAGGGTCCCGGCCAGACAGCGCAGGGCGCCGCAGGAATCAGCAATGAGGACCCCCCCGGGGGGTCTTTTCCCATTGAAAATCTGTTCCCCTCGCGGCCACGGGTGATGTATGGCTGGAGCTGATGAGAAACGTGCGGCGGAATGGAGGCGAGCCCCGCGACATTGAGATTCCGCGGGGCGGAGGGGGCGGCGCAGGCCCTGACACGGGCCGGGTAATTGATCTGGAGGTGCCAATTTGCAGCAACTAAATATTTGGTTTCTGCCTCTGCCCGCTCCGCACTCTGCTCAAACAAACTTCAATTAAAAGCGAAAAGCGAGGGGTGGGGGGACGGCGCGCCCGGGTCCCCGCGGCCCGATCGATGGCACGGAGCCTGCGGACTGCCGAGCGCGATGCGCCGGGCGGGGGGCACCGCAGACGAGGGCGGGGCGGGCGCCCTCTTCCGGATTGCCGAGCACCGGGCGCCTGGCCCGCGAGAGGAAGCGCCCGAGGGAGGGCCCGCAGAGGCGATGCGGATGCTTCGGGCAGGAGGCCGGCTTAATCTCAGTTCCACGTGCCAAACGGGGACACGAATAAGGCCAGCCTCGAGACTCCCACTCCAGATGCCCAAGCCTGGTACTCGGGCAGGGACCCTGGGGTAGGAGGAGTCCCCGGACGCCGAATCCCCTCTCCCAGTACACACACCACAGGAACTTTTGATGGTGGTCTTGCCATTCAACAGCACCCACTCAGCATCCTCTCTGAGCTCCCCTGGGAGCCAGGTCCATCTCCTCTCCCGTGTCTGCCCATCGGGCCACATTTGGGTTGGCCCAAGTGCTGGGGGTGAATCCAATCCAGGCCCCAACCCTGGAAGGGACTGAAGGAGAGGGTTTGGAAGTGCAGGAAGGAGCAGTGAGATCCTGGGAATTAGGGAGGAGCCTGGGGAAGTGGCTACAGCCTGGAGCAGGGGAAAGGGTCATTGGGTCACAGTTGCCTCTTTTGGGGGTTCAAGACAAACACAGCAACAATAGTCATTCACTGGACAAAGTTAGTCCATAAGGAAGTTTCTGTCCCTCAACGATCTCTCAGTACTTTGGGGGAGAGACCCCAGGGCTGGGAAGGGGAGCTAATCATTGACGCTGGGAAGCAAGGGCGTCACAGGGTCTGCTGGGTGAGTAGCCTGGGGGTAGTTAAGACAGTTCTGGGAAAGATGTGATAAGGCATGGAGGTGGGGGCGAGGGTGGCAAAGGGGCATCCCGGTCCGTGTGGAAGGTAGGGATAGATTCAGACGGAGGGAATGTGGGGGGCAGTTGGGGTCCTTTCATCTGAATGAAAGTTTCTTGAGGGCCAGAGCAGGGAGGTAAGGGAGAGGGGCTGGGAAGCTAAGTGAGAAGGCCCTCGTACCCTCCCACATTTCTGTGCCCCACCTTCTGAGGTGGCACGATGGCATGAGACTTCTCTCTTCACCAAGTGAGACTGATGCTGGTCCACTCAGCTGCAGGCTGCAGCCCTTTCCTACCCTCCTCCTTTTTGAGCCCCCTCTCCCTGGCCCCCCAGGACTCCTTGGTCCATGGCTGGCTGTGGAAGCACAGGCCCTGTGGCCGTGGGCCCCAGTTTCCAGGTACTCAGATGGCCCTGAAGGGCTCCTCTGGGCCAGGAAGGCCTGGGTGCCACCCCCATTCTCAAACACAGGGTTCTGCAGGAGGTTTGTCTCACCACCCCTCTTCTGTCCCCCTTCTCCTCCAAGCAGATGCCTCACCTCCTGGGCCCTCCTCATTAGCCCTCAGCCTCCAGGCCCCAGTTCTCTCTCTTTGTGGCTCAGGGCATGGGTCTCTCATCACAGGAGAGCTGGATCCAGAGCTCCATGTGAAGCTGAGGAAGAACCCCCAGCTGGACCATCCCCAGAAGCTGCCCTCTCCACCCCTGCTTTCTCACCCCAGCCCGTCCTAGGGGCTGCGGCATTCCCCGGAATGCCTGAAGCTCTGTCCCAGGCTGCAAGCTGGGTGCCTGCTCCCTCAGATTCCCTCCCTCCCCCTCTCCCTCTCCCTGGGCGCTGAGCTGTGGAGCAGAATGATTTCCTGTAATTGGCCAGCAATCCGGCTGCCCGACTTGTTCTATCGACATGCTGGTTAGCTGGAAATTGTATTGGAATCTGAGCAACTGGGAGGGGAGGGGAGTGGGGGAGCAAAGAGAGGAGAGTCTTTGGGTCCCAGCTAGGTGCAGCCTCAGCTGGGTGGTGGGACAGTGGAGCCAACCAACCACATCTCCCTTTTCTGGGAAGAAGCGGGAAAGCAACCCATAACACCTCCTCACCTCCTTCATTGTGCTCCTTCTCTCTTGCCATCTCTGGGGGTCTCCCATGACCACTCGTGTGTGGCCCTGTGGCCTCGGGTCATCACTGCCACCCCATTCCCTCTCCTGCCCCTGAGACTGTTTCCTCCTGACCGAAAGCACCTTTGTGAGAACGAGGGTCACTCAGCAGACGTGGCTATCCTTCTCCCATCCAATTTCCAGCCATGGGGGCTCATTATGGAGTGTCCCTAGCCTTCTCCTGCCCCTGCCTTCACCCTCACCAAGGAAAGAGACAGACCGAACACCTGAAGAAGAGTTGACAGTACTTGTAGAAGAAGAGCCACCAGGGAATGGACCGGGGCTGCGGGGGCAGTGGGAGGAGCACTGTACCGAGAATCCAGAAGCTTTGGGATTATGCCTGTTGGTTACTTGGGCCCCTCAACCTCTGAGCCTCTGTGAAATTCTAGCCTGGGCTCCTCCACTCCTTTACAGAGGTGGGAGATTTCAAGGAGATAACCGAGTGAATGTGCTTTGTAAAGGATGAAGCTCTGCGAATCACCCCAGGGTCAGCTCCGGCCTGGTAACGGGGATGGTTTTAGGGGCCTGTCTGTCCCCTTCATCCCGCACCAAGAGGCCTGCGTGTCTGCAGCCTTCGCTGGTGTCTTCATTGCTCCGCGCCGGGGTGTTCCGGACCCAAGTGGGAGACTGGAGCCCAGGGTCCCGTGCCCGCCACCCTCGCGGAAGGCTGGCATGGGGACACCTCCCTCCACCCCACGGCGGCATGAGCACGCGGGGCCCGTAGCTCCAGCAAAGAGGACGCGTGAGCAACAGTGCTTTATAATTAGCGCCCGGTGCAAGGCAGCGCTTGGCGGGGATCTGAGGCCGCCCGCGGCCCCGCAGAGGTGGCGGGAACACGGCCCGGAGAAAGCAACCACTCCGTGAGCGCTGCCGCCGAGGCTCGACCCCAACCCCGGGCGGGTGCTGCCACCTGCCGGCCGGAGGGGACGCCGCCCGCTCGGCACGGGGCTGGGGCTCAGGGCGGCCTGGCCCGGCTGCAGGCTGTACAAGGCTTCCACCTGGAGGCGCGGCCTAACCATGAAGTGGCCTGAGGGAAATGAGGCCTCCATCTAAGAGCGCCTCGGTCCACCCAGCTCGGGAAAGGGAGGCACGAGGAGCGAGGCATGGGGTGGTGGTGGCGGGGAGCTGTCGTGGAAGAGGGCACCAGGAGGGCTGGATGGTGTTTGCTCACCTTCTCGTCTGGCCATCCTCTCTCATTCCTGCATCAAACTCAGCAGAGATGAAAATAGTCTTTGGAACCTTACAGTTTGCAAAGGGTCTTCACTGTCCTCCATTTACCAAGTCCTTTGACGCAAGCATCACGAACCCTACTTGATAGAAGAAACCAGAGCCAGGTTGTCACAGAAGTAGGAGCCTGGGCCTGGACACAAACCCAGGTCTGCTCCTCCCAGGGGTGTAGTTCTAAAGCCTGGCTTGTGACCCAGATCAGAGCCCTCCATCTCTCTGGGCCTGGAATCGGAATAACCAATGTTACCTTCTCTCTGGAGTGTGACACACCTAGCACAGTGTCCAGCATGTCACAGGCATGCATGAGGAGTCATTTTCTCAGTGATGAGGGGAATGGCACTGGGAGGGGTCCTATCTTTCCCCCTTTTCTCTGCTTACCAAACTGCGGAAGCAGCCACGTTCCACCATGCTCCCCCTGCCCTGGCCCCCACCCTGCAGCTCGCCACCTCCTTGCCCAGCCCTTGCCCCTTGGGAGTTTGCAGAGAGTTAATGAGCTGGTGTCTGAGGTATGAGCAGCTCTGGGAAAGGGGGCACTAAATATGGCTGCCACAGCATTCACATTTGTCACACTCATTTCTGGCCTTAATAAGCACTGGCCAAAGGATCATCACATCAGCAGGACTGACAGCTCTGGCAAGAGAAAGCTGACGTCTACACTGGTCTAATTGGGTTGGGGGAGAAAGATGGAATAAGTGGGCATGATACTGCCCCAGCCCCTCCACCCGCTTCTCACAAGGGTACACCTGGACCTGGCTCGATCCTCCTGCAGCCCCAGGAGAAATCAGAGGGCTACTATACCTTCTGGGGACTGGGGAAGTGAGGGGCCCAGGCCTCAGTGTGAGAGGAGGCCAAATGTAAGCCCAAATGCTATCTGTCAAGTCTGGGAACCTTGGTCAGTCCACGGTGCTAGGGGAGAAATGGCAGTGCAGAGCATTTCAGATCAACACACTTTATTAAGCACCAAGAGTGAGTCAGGCTCTGCACCAGGAACACAGAGATGAATAAGACTCCTTGCCCTCAAAGGGCTTACAATCTAGTAATAGAGACCAACCAGCTTTTGGCTGATTACTGTGGATTCAGGTAAAATGGGGTGGGGGTGTGGGGGTGGGTGGGTGTGTGTGTGTGTGATCCCAGAGCATCTAACCCAGCCTGGGGCAGTGCCTGAGCTGGGAGTCAACCAATTACAGAAAAAAAAAAGAGAAAGAAAAAGGGTATTCCAGGCGGGGGAACAGCAGGGCAAAGGCACAGAGGTGAGAAACTACCTGGTGCAAGTGGACGACCAGGAGCTCAGGGCTAGGAGAACACGGAGTGGGAGGCAGATGGTGGGAGGGGTGAGGAGGGAGTAGGGGCACAGAGAAACACCAAGGTGGGACGGCGGGTCATCCCAGAAGAGGCCTGGGCGCTGCCCAGCTATAGCATTACCCACAAGGGAATCCTCACTACATCCTGGCAAGGGCTTCAAGCTAGGGGAGAACCCTGCTTGAAGTTGGCAGGCCTTGGTCCCATGGTCCACAAAGGAGGTTTCAGCCATGATAAGGCATGTGCTCGGAGAGGGTTCAAGCCCAGGGAACCTCCCAGCTTTAAACACTGGTGAGGGCCACAGAGACAGTGTTCCTCACCCCCACCCACAAGAAATTTGTAAGAGTCTCCCACTGCTGCTTTCATGCCCCATCACAGACACTGTTCTGTAGATGGTTCCAGAGGGAGGGACCCTGGGGAAGGTGGGAAGGAGCATCTACTGACAGAGGGCTGTTTCTCTGCCTCAGACAGGACTCACTCCAAAGAAGGGTCTGCCCAGGGCAGAGCTCCAGCCCAGATCCAGAGAGAGAGAGAGAGAGAGAGAGAGAGAGAGAGAGAGAGAGTGTGTGTGTGTGTGTGTGCGTGTGTGTGTGTGTGTGTTGAGGGGGCTGGGAGGAAACAGGATGATTCCTTACCCAGCTTCAGGCTCTGCTTTGGAGGGCCCAGCTAGGGGGACGGCAGGAGGTAGCGGGTGAGCAGGTAGAGGAGGCCGGCAATGCCGGCCAGACCCGTGAGGACCCCAAGCCTCAGCGGCAGGTACTCCAGGGAGCGCTCCAGCTCGGCATGCAGGAGGATGACCTGGCGTTTGGTGACGCTCCACTCGCCTGAGTTGTCAAGAACATGGCGGGCCATACGTGCCTTGTCCTTCAGGGGCAGCTGAGCCTTGATCCGAGCCTCTGCGTCCTCGCGGTTCAGGTTGTTCCGCTGCATCAGCCTTGCCAGCTGCGTGTCCCGGTCACTAAAGACAGGGCAAAAGGGCTGCTCAGGCATCGTAGGCCCCAGCCTCCCTCCCACTAGCAAGTTACGGGGGGGGGGCAGCCCTGGAAGCTCCCTGCCTCCCCCACCACACCCCACTCTTTGTGAGGACGCTGGGAGCACTGTGGGCGAGCTGAGCCCCTTAATATAAACAAGGAGGGAAAGGGCTGCCGCCACTGCTCTCTGCCACCTGGGGTCTCTCTGTTTTGCCACCAGGCCTGAGATTTCCCAGCTATAAAAGAAGGATTTGATCACCGGGAATCAGCTACCTCCTGGATCCCTGGACAGGTGACCTTTACTGAAAGGCCTGTGTCTGCCAGCTAAACACATCCTGCGGTTCCCCTGGGGCTGGGGCTTGCTGCATCAAAAACAGCTTCCTGGGCCACTGCAAAGACCCCTCACTTTGTCGCCCCACCCCTACTCCTGCACATTTACAGCAAAAGGACCGCACTAAGATGGTGGCTGCTGTGCTTGATGCCACTGAAGAAGTGGGACGGACCAGCCCCAAGGTGCTTCCAGTAGGAGCGAGGACTTAAGAACTGGACCTCCTCGGCCCTCGGACAGGACTAAGCACTGGAGACTAACACCCAGTCCCCTAACTCCAGAGGAAACTCCAAGAACACGTCTTGTGCCCATTCTGTTATCCCCATCGGGATCCTTCCTCAGGAAACCCCCTGTCCTGCCTCTGGCTACACAGCTGTCCAGCTGTGCTCTGGAATGGGCTCATCTCTAACATCCCTCTAGCTCTACGACCACCTAAGCCCCTCAATGGGAACAAGGAGGAAAAGGGATGTAGGAGCTGTTTCTCTGCCATCTAGGGCCTCTGCTTCGCCACTAGGCCTGAGTTTATAAGATGGGAAGATTTGACCACTACAATTTGGTCCCTTCTTAGGTGTGACCTCCTGGGATGTGAAGACAGACTTTCTAAGGACAGACATAATCTGAATGCCAGCCAGTTCCGATGCCATTCAGAACAGAATGCTGCAGGTCATTTCTGGCTGGCTGATCGGGAAGACCTGGGAGAAGGGATGACATCTGTAATGGCTTTGAGAAGTAGGTAGGATTTCTGATTTCCTTTGTTATGGGGACAGTGGACTGTCGAGGTCATGGGCCAATCCCCGCCTGGATGAAAACAAGGACTATATCCAACTTTAGTCAGGAATACCCGCGAGTCTGTGGCTGGGAAAATCTGGGTGAGAGAAGGGAGATGGCTTAGGGCCACGTGTGAGTCACATCCTTCAGAAAGTGGGTCCCCTGGGATGTGAAGGCAGAACTCTCCAACAGCCCTTCCTGGGGCTCAGAAAGAGTCCCATATTTAGTTGAAGGATTGATGCGATTTGTGGTAATGGGTTTTTACCCAAATACTTATCCCACAATTGGAAAATTCCTCAAAAATGTGAATAATCATGTTTTGGTATAATCACGCTTTGGTAAATGCCCCATATTACTTCAAATGCACCAGAGGGCGTTTGCCAGCTAAAGGAGTCCACGAAGGGACCCTCATTTTTGTAAAGTGTAGATCCCTTTTACGAAAAGCAAATAATCACTCATTCATACCTCTCTGGCAGCTCTCGTGAGTTGTACACCCACCTGTGCTGAAAGTGGGGCCTAAATGGCAGCCAGGCTTCTGGCAAAGGCTCCTCTGGCTGTGAGTGGGGCTGCAGGATCTCCTGGTGAGCAGGCAGAATCTACAAAGCCCCACTCATCTGCCAGGAGTCACAGCCATCTCTGCTCTTAGCAAACAGACCAACCTTGAAGGAAAGCCAGGAAGGTGGCAAGGGTAGGCGCAGAGTGATCTGGTGACTGCAGATGCAACCAGCCCCTGTCCTGTTTCCTCATGTATACTAAGGTCCCCCCGCTTGGTATTAAGGCTCCAAGGGAAGGAGAATTCTAAGTCTTCATGGAGTTTGCTTGGCCTCAGCTGATAGTCTTTCACAAACAGGGAAGAAAGAACCCAGAGAGGCTGCGGGTTTACATGGGGAGACATGGGCCAACGGGGGAGCTGTGAGGATGCCCCTACGCCAGGCTCAGCAGATTTAGACTGGGCTTCAAATGCCAGCCCATGGTGGGGAGCTGTCGGGGAGGGCAGGGTGATGCTTAGGGCACTGAGCACCCCAGGCCCCACCTCCAGTGTGCTAGGGGCCTCCCACACATTTGTCTCTTGAGAGCCACTCTGTGCCCAAAATACCCATGGAGCCAAGTGCCCACCTCTGTGTCTGTCGTACTTGTGGGTGGCATCCAGGAAGCTTCTGGGAGGCAGAGACACCCTGCAGCCTTCTCTACTCTCACCCTGCTGGGACTGTGACTCATTTTCTCTGACAGTTTGATCCTCCTCTGTTTGCCAAACCTGGATCCTGGTTTGCTTCATGTCCTGGAGGATTCTGAGAACAAAGCTCCTTCCTTAGCTGGGCTCTGACAGTTTTCTCCCCGCAACTTTCTGTTCATAGGTGTTGCTAATGGGTGGCCCTGGACAAATTCTGAAACTCCCCCTGGAGTTCTCCGTAACTCAGAAGTATCAACTCATGCCCTGACCACCTCGTGTTGAAAGGTAAACTGATGAAGTAATAAATGTGGGAGCTGTTTGGAAAGTTGAGAAGTGCTACAGGAGGGAAAAGGGATCCAGCGAATAACAACATGGTAGCCCAGGGCAAGGCCTGGCATCTGAGCTGAAGTGCCTCCAAGAGCCAGAAGGGGGAGCCCTTCCCAAGCACTAGAGAGGCTGGGAGCCATCACTTCCCACAAGAACCTGAGGGTCTGTCTGGGTCAGGCAGAGGCATTGGTTTCTACAGGCTCTGGGCTGTGCCTCCTGGCCGCCTGGTGGGCAAAGGGCAAAGTGATGTGGGCTATTTCTCAGGTACACGCCCTACTCCAGGGGTACTTCCTTCCGGCCTTGGTCAGGCTGGGCCATGTCGCACACTCACCAGTATACCACCACTGTGTGCTTCATGTACTTGAGCAGCTTCTTGGTCTCAAACAACAGGGGGATATCCAGAATCACGTAGCGGTATCCTGGGGAGAAGCCAGGAAACCCACAAGTTCAATTCTGCAAGCACACACTGAGGATTGACTATGGGTTAGGTGAGGGAACAGAGTTGGAGCCACTGGCCCCTACCATGGAGAGCTCCCCAGCAGAGGGGGAGACTTTCCAAGGACCAGCATATCCTGAACCAGCCAGTTCCAACGCCACTCAGAAGAGAATTCTGCAGAAAGCCATTTTTGACCGGATGACTAGGGAAGACCTTATAGAAAGGACGGCATCTGTACTGGCCTTGAAAAGCAGGTAGGACTTCTGACACTTGAAAATGCGTGGGTGGAGGTGGGGCTTCTCGGACTGGAGAACAGCAAAGCACAAGCAGCAGCGAGGTTCTACTGCTCTGGCTGCAGTGCAGGCCTCGAGCGTGTGAGGCAAAGCTACGAGGGAGTCGGGGCAGGCACAAAGGGTTGATCGAGTTCACTTTGATCTTGAACCCAAAGAGTTGTTATTTCTGAGTAAGGTAATGACACAGCCAGAGTTGTAGGAAACTAGGAAGAGTTTCCAGGAGTAACTGGGCCCTTTCTGCCCTACTTCACCCACATTCTTTTTTTTTTTGAGGAAGATTAGCCCTGAGCTAACTACTGCCAATCCTCCTTTTTTTGCTGAGGAAGACTGGCCCTGAACTAACATCCATGCCCATCTTCCTCTACTTTATACGTGGGACGCCTACGACAGCATGGCTTTTGCCAAGCGGTGCCATGCCTGCACCCGGGATCCAAACCGGTGAACCCCGGGCCGCCGAAGCAGAACGTGCGAACTTAATCACTGTGCCATTGGCTGGCCCCAATACTTCACCCACCTTTGCTCAAAAAACCAAAACTAAACTGATAGGCTATTCCTCAAGAGCCAGGTCCCTGCCTGGCTCCCTGCTGAAGACTCCTGCATGGCCATCTCCACCAACCCTCCATGACAGACTCATATAGGGTGGCAGCAGCAGCCCCGAAAGGAAAGAGGCTGCTTCCTGGCCTTAAAGGCAGACCTCCAGCCAGGGACTGCAGGGACTGCAGGGACTGGTCTGGAGGTGTGGGGTGGCCATGACTAAGACTGTATAACTAACTCCGTGGAGTAAAAGGCACTGGCTGGCCCTTACCCACTGTGAGTGGGCATGTCCCTGGGCTGCTGGCACAGAAACACCATAGGCTACACACTCATCGTTCTCTTTAGGTCAGTGCCCCCTGTGTGTGTGTAAAACATCTGGCAGGGGTCCAGAAGCATGGGGGAAAGGGATGGGCACTGCTTCTGCCCCGACACCCCTGCCTGGCTTGGATGGTGTCCCACTGTAAACACTTCCAACTACAGAACTAGACACACGTCACGCCAATCCCAGGGGTGGCATGGGGAAACTGACACTCGACGTGATGCAGGGAATACAGTGACAACCCGAGCCACTGAGTTTCTTGTTCTCCGGGACCTGCTGCTCAGGAGGCTGAGGAGAAAGCTTCAGTTGAAAGCTGGGTTAAGAGAATGGGGTCTGGGGCCGGCCCCGTGGCCGAGTGGTTAAGTTTGTGTGCTTTGCTTCGGTGGCCCAGGGTTTCACCAGTTCAAATCCTGGGCACGGACATGGCACCACTCATCAAGCCATGCTGAGGCGGCGACCCACATGCCACAACTAGAAGGACCCACAACTAAAAATACACAGCTATGTACCGGGGGGCTTTGGGAGAAAAAGGAAGAATAAAACCTTAAAAACAAAAAAAAAAGAATGGGCTCTGAGGACCTGCCTGGGTTGGTAGCCCTCACTTTCCCACCAGGTGACTTTGGGCCCCTTAACAAACCGCATCTGTTTAAATGAGTGAAAAGACTACCTTCCTCACAGGAAGGTAAGGATGAAATGAGCAAAGGCAGGTAAGCCACTCAGCGGCCCCTCACCAGACCCTCACTAAGTGCCCCACCGATGATGGTTATTATCTCATGGTTCCCTGGAGCAGGGAGGCCGGCTCCCCCGCTCCCCTCCCAACTCGGAAGAGGAGCCAAGACCAGATCCTCCCTGGGCCTCTTATCTCCCTTCCCTGCTCGCTCCTGTCCTTTCCTCTCCCCTCACTGTCCTTTCTCCTCAGCTCCTCTCGGGAGCTCGTGGCCAGCTCTTTGGTTCACTGGCAGAGGGCTATTCAGCTGTCACCTCCCTCCTGCTTGATAAGCTCTGCAAACTCCTGACTATATGAAGACATCCGTCTGCCTACACGGAGGCCTCCCCAACAGCTGGTGATCTTATCTGACGTCTGATTATACCAACTTTGACAGTTGTATTTGTTATACTCATCAGGGAAAAACTGGGACTGTGGAAGCCACAGCTGTCGTCCCCATTTTTCACTTTATCGAGCTGAAAAGAGCTTTCTGGCTTTTATTTAAGTGGTGGTGGTTGGGGAAAGAGGAGGCTGGGTGGTGACACAGCGGGAGAACCTTGGAGCGGGTGACATTACCCGATGCTTCATTTGAGAAGGGGTGAGCCACTGCCGCCTCAAAGCCCTGCCGAGGTACTTGCAACTGGCCTGGGAGCGAATGGAAAAGGGCAGGAATGAAAGGCAGAAGGCTTCGCTCCCAGTGGGGGACAGGAGGGAGGCCTGGCACAGACACAAGAGGCAGGACAAAGACAGAAAGAGTCCAGAGACTCCTTGAGGGAGGAGGAAGGGAGGGGCGCCTGCAGCAAGGTCCTGAAATGAAGAGCCAGAGCTGGTCCCACAGGGAGGATGCCTGGAGCCAGCTCCCGCCCTGGCAGAGCTGGGGGAGGCGAACAGGGGACAACTCATGGCTGTCTGTCAAGTCATCCCTTCCCTTCTGGAGGAAGGTACTGGCCAGAGCAGGGGGAGGGGGGAGGGGAGGGAGGTTCCCCGCTCTGTGCATGAGAATGTGATGCACGAGAGAATAAGGGGTTTGGCCATGATCACAGTGTAAAAGCCCCCAAAAAACCTAGAAGGCTCCCCCACATCCTCCAGGAGGAAGGTCTCAGCATCATCACTGACAGTAGGGAGACAGGCAGCCAGGACTTCAACTCTGAGGCCCAGGCTGGGGGCTACAGAGGCCAAAGGCCGGAGGCAGATCTGCAGGGGTCCTAAGCCAGCCTCTCGCCTGATCCTAAGCCACTGCTCTCTGGTCTCCCACTTCTGGTGACTGACCGCATCCTGGACATTAAGTATCAGCCCAGCCCTGGCCAACACCGTCCTGAAGAACAGGGCTTGAACAGTGGTCTCTGGCTTGGGAAAGGCTGCAGCAGCTGCAGAAGGTTCTTGCCAGCTGAGCACAGACCCCTGCTTTTCAAACACTCCCCGCTTCCTTCAGTCCCGGCACCGCCAGGCTCACTCTCTCCCCTGAGCCCCAGCTCCGTAGGATTATCCTCCACTTAGAACCCCCCCAACACCTGCCCTGGCCATCCTGGACCCTCCCCAATTTCCAGTCTACAGACTTACTCTCCCAGGTGGCTCAACCGGGACCAAATCTGACTCTGACCGGTTTCCACTTGCGTGGTGATCGATGTCGCTGACGTGGACTGAGCCCCCAACAGCTTTCAGGGTTGGCATTATTAGCTTTACCATGCAAATGAGGAGAAGGCAGAGGGGCTGGCTCGCTCAACAAAGCCACAGAGCTAGACTGTGAGGGCCAGCACTTAAACTCAGGCCTTACAACTCCATTATTCATCAGCTGTCATCACTCCCATCCCTACTAGAAAAATCAACTTACTTCCTGGGGGTCACGGCTCAAAAGCCTCAAGTGTCTCTTCTCATTAAACTGTCAACCTCCTCAAGACTTGAGGGACACTGCTTCATTCCTCTGGGGCTGGTACGGGGTCTGCATGGTGGGTGCCAACGACCAGAGTGAACTCGACAGTCTGGATAACCAGCTCCCCCACCCTGGCCAAACTTTCTGCAGAGATGAAGGGCCCTGGTCCTGGGGGGAGAGGGCTCTGCCCCACCCTGTCCCAGGCCCTGGTCCTGGGGGGAGAGGGCTCTGCCCCACCCCTGTCCCAGGCCCTGGGTCTTACCCCGGAGGAAGTACTTGAAGGTCTCCTTCATCATCTGCTTGCGGATCTCAGGGTGGGTGATGGCGTTGAGCAGAGACCGTCGGTCAGGCTGGTTAAAGATCAAGTCCCCCAGGACCTTGCGATTGATGTCGCCATTCTCCAGCAAGACCTCAGTGCCAAAGGCCTCCACGATGCGCCGGTGGGCTGGGTGTCCTGGCTGGACAACTGTGGCATGAGGAAGAGGCTGGGTCACTCTCCGGAGGCTCCAGGCCAGCCAGAGGACCCAAGTGACTAGAGGCAAAATGACAGGGGAACCCTGGGGTGCTTCTTTCAGTTGGAGCGAAAACAAAACGAGAGGAGGGAAAGCAGTGAAGGAAGAGCGCACAGCCTCCCTCGTGTTGGTCGTGGGTGAGGTGAGGAGAGTGGAAAGTTAGACAGAAAAGGAGAGGGCAGGCAGGGGTGGGGAGCAGGAAAGCAGACCAGGGCTGACAGGAAAGCCTTCCCTCCTGAGGCCTCAGCAAAAGGGGCGCATGATGGAAGAAAGGAAGCACAAGGGAACCGCTGTGGACGAGCCCGCAAGCCAGCCCCTCCGACTCACCCTGCCGCGCTATGACGTCGATGTCGATCACGGCGCAGCCCAGCTGCTGGAACACCTGAATCACGGAGCTCTTGCCTGAGGCGATGCCCCCCGTGAGGCCCACCAGGAACATCTTCCCAGGAAAGAGGTCAGGGAGCTACCCGACCAGGAGCCGCAAATCACTGGAGAAGGGCGAGCTCGGCGGGTCGGGATGGCCCACCGCGGGAATGCCAGGACCTCCTACGGACAGACGAGAGCAGGCCTCATCAGCGCTGGGAGAGGGGGGCAAAGGAGGAAAAGCGAGACTGGCCTGGCAGGGAAAAGTCAAGTCCTGACACAGAAAACTTTCCGGAAAGGCCTCCAGTATTCCTTTAAAAACACTCACAAAGAAGGCAAACTAACAGTCTAAATTTAGCAATCAAAATGCTGGGCAGGCAGAGCAAGGTCAGGTGCTACGAAGCAGAGTGCTTTCTGCAGGTGGCAGTACCCCACCTTCACATGACTTGTCCAGGGTTGCACAGCATGGAGGAACTGGCCTGAAGAGCTCCATGCTCCTAACCTCTGTGCTGTACTGCTGCTCAGTCTGAGAGAGCTTCAGATCCCAACACCAGCACAGAGTTACCTGCCCCACAGCCTGCCATTCTTTCCTCACTTCCTTTCTTGGCAAGATCCATATTTCTCTAATCCTCAGACTTAATGGCTTAATGGCAGTGCAGGCAAACTTCACATAGAAAGGGGAGACCTGACCCTCTGGTGGACCCAGGGCACTTTCCAGATGCCCACAGGCCGCCCCCTACCCCCAACCCCGACCTCCTCTTTCTAGTCTGGGACACCGAGGCTTCAGGGAAGAAAGGGCCTGTCTGCCCAGCCCACCACCAGCACTAGGACTGCCTGGGGGGATAGTGTAAACCAAGATGAATATTCCTTCCCCCTCCACCAAGAACTGGCCCAGATGGGGAGCTCAGTGGCAGGCAGTGGCTCAGTGGCCATTAAGTCTGAGGATTAGAGAAATATGGATCTTGCCAAGAAGGGAAGTGAGGAAAGAATGGCAGGCTGTGGGGCAGGTAACTCTGTGCTGGTGTTGGGATCTGAAGCTCTCTCAGACTGAGCAGCAGTACAGCACAGAGGTTAGGAGCATGGAGCTCTTCAGGCCAGTTCCTCCATGCTGTGCAACCCTGGACAAGTCATTTGCCTCTCGTTGAGCCTCAGTTTTCTCATCCATAAAATGGGGATGACAGAACCTGCCTCATAAGGTTGTTGTGCAGACTGAATGAGAAAGTGCATATAAAGGGCCAGCCCTGGTGGCCTAGTGGTTAAGTTTGTCACGTTCTGCTTCGGCGGCCCAGATTTGGATCCTGGGTGTGGACCTATACCACTGGTCAGTGGCCATGCTGCAGTGGCCACCCACATACAAAAGAGAGGAAGATTTGCCATGGATGTTAGCTCAGGGCAAATCTTCCTCAAGCAAAAAGAGGGGGATTGGTGATGCATGTTAGCTTAGGGTGCATCTTCCTTGGGGGGGAAAAAGTACATATAAAGCCCTCAGGACACTGCTATTTACATGGCAAATGCCCAGTAAGGGAAGTGAGGATGGTGATGCGGGATGGAAGGTGGAGGTCAAAGTCATATTGCAGGGCACAGAAAGAAAAAAAGTTATGAAGTTATGTCCCCATTCCTGCATCCTCAGACTATCTCACAACAGATTTTTTAAAAAGTCACGTTGGGGGGCCAGCCCAGTGGTACAGCGGTTAAGTTCTCACGTTCCGTTTCAGTGGCTCAGGGTTCATCGGTTCGGATCCCGGGTGCAGACATGGCACAGCTTGGCAAGCCATGCTGTGGTAGGCACCCCACAAACAAAGTAGAGGAAGATGGGCACGGATGTCAGCTCAGGGCCAGTCTTCCTCAGCAAAAAGAGGAGGACTAGTAGCAGATGTTAGCTCAGGGCTAATCTTCCTCAAAAAGAAAGACAGATAAAAAGTCATGTTGGGCCCAGCCCTGTGGCCAAGCACTTAAAGTTCCATGCACTCCACTTCTGTGGCTTGGGTTCACAGGTTGGGATCCCAGGCGCAGACCTACTCCACTTGCTGGCCATGCTGTGGAGGTGTCCCACATACACACACAAAAAAGGAGGAGGATTGGCAGCAGATGTCAGCTCAGGGCAAATCTTTCTCAGGGGAAAAAAAAAAGTCACGTTGCATTTTCTGGAGTCAACAGGGTTACCATGTCTTGAATTTTGTTCCCAAATTGGAAGAAATTAAATCAAAGGCCAGGTCCCTCCGATCCTTCCTTCAGCATCAAATCACTTCTCCAGGACCTTGAAATCTGTCGTAGGACTCTTTTTTTGTTAAACAGCAGATTTACTGTCCTAATTACACTTTGTTTGAACTTATCCTGAAAAGACTGCCTCCCCTGAGGACGCATCAAATGATGGGGGAGGCAGCTGCTAGGATGTGGGCTGAGTGGGTGGGTGGCTTGGGGCAGTGGGAGGACCAAACTAGAAGTTTCAATGTGCCCAGGCTCGTTCTCACTCAGGAAAGCCAAGGGCAGAGAGGGGAAAATAGCCACCAGAGTCATCGTCCAAATGGAGCGACCTAGCCAAACTATTAAACCATTGACAACATTTCTCCTCACTCTCTCTGAGACTAGAGTCACCCTCAGGTGGTCTCCATTCCGCTTACAAAAAGAGGAGTTAAGGGTAGGATTCAGTTGTCAAAACTAAAAAAAAAAAGTTCATTCACTCAGCTGAAGCTTTGACATGAAAAACCTAGCAACACAGTTTTTAATGCCACCTCTGTCCTGTTGTTCCTAAAACAGTGAGTCTGCTCCTCGGCCAAGGACCAATCTGGAAGAACAGGCCACAGCCAAGGGAAGGGACGAGGGCTGGTCCTCCACAGGCAGCCTCATCGTTGAAAGCAAGCCACTGTTCACCTGGTCATCCAACATTGCCAGACTTGAAGGGGCCTGGAGACCACGTGGCTGAGAGGACCTCAAGCCCCGCCATACCCAGAACCAGGCTACCCCCGACCCCCGAGACCTCCTGGACCAGACTCTGGCAATGGAGGTATCAGGCAGCTCCGCTCTGTAACACGGCTTGGGATTGACTCTAACTCCTCACTTACAGTGGTAAAGACTGAGGAGAGAGGAAGGGACTTGCCAGGGCCACAGCTATTAGTGGAGCCTGGATGGAATGCAGGGCTCCTAATTCCGAGTCTAGACCCTGCCTTACTGTACTCGGAATGAAAAGTTAATTTATCTTTAGACTAAGTAAGACAAATCAAGGATGGTGAATGTCTCTGTAGGCAAATCAATTCAGAGCCAAAGACAAATGATTGCTTGATGATCATATAGGCATTTTCCCTCTGCAGGATAGGGGGCGGGGTCTCATGGGCAGCAACCAGGGCACAGCCATGAATTCCAGGCTCAGCTCCGTCCCAGGCTCCCCGGGTAACCTAGGGAATATCCTCCCTTCTCAGTGCCTTGGATGACCATCTGTAGAAACAGAGCAACAGCTGCTTGGCCTCCGTCATGAAGGCCAAGGGGGTGGCAGCGCACATGCCTGGGGAGGCTGTGGGCCCCTGGCTTAAAGGGGCTGAACAAACAGCAGCTGTTCCCCTCCAACAAGCCCCTCCATAACTCGTTCCTCCACTAACCACTGACCTAGCTCCTCTGTGCTTTGCAGCTCAGTGCCCAGCTCTCCCGGGCAACCAAAGGAAAATACAGGTCTTGCCCCTCAGGAAAACTGGGGAGACAGACAGTAACGAATGAAACCAGTGCCGACAGGTAAGTAAGAGCAGTCACGTGGGACTCACCTGAGCCTGGTGGCGGGGTACGTGGACCCCTCACAGGTCTGCTCACAGATCTGCCCTGGGAGGGGCTGCAGCGAGCGAGCGTCCACTGTCCCCTCAAGGCTTAGCCAGGAGGAAATGAAGGCTGCCTCTAAGTCCCACCTGGACCAGTCCGGCAGCTCCTCCCAGGCACCCTTGGAGTGACCATCTTTGATAACCTGTGTTCATGACTCTCTTCCTGCTCTGGCTCCAAAGTCATCACTTTCCAGAATCTGCTCATTTCCTCTCATTCCAATGCCTTTACATGGAGGTGGAGGGAACCTCACAGCAACTCCTAAGCCTGGCTCTGATCTGAATCTCCCACAACACTTCAGAAAAGGTACAGAAAGCCAGGCTCCACCCTGCCCGCTGAACCTGAATCTAGCATCCCAGCCAGCCAGGCACCAGAATGGCTGCTAAAGTAGAGCGCTGTAGAGGCGAAGTTGAGAGGCCTGGGTCCTGGGCTCTGAACTCTGCCACGAACCTATCCGTGCGACTGCAGGAAGCCTTCTCACCAGCCTGGCCCAGGGTGGGGAGTGAGAATCTGCGGAGCCCCCAAATGCCTGCCCCTCTCTGAGCCTCAGTCGCCACACCTGTAACCGAGGGGCTGCACAATGCTAACAGCAGCATCAGCTCTGGGGGAGGCTATGAGTCACGATGGTGCTTTCCTCCTCCCTCCCCGTCTGTGGTTCAGCCCTCTTCCCAGAGCAGTCAACAAACGCTCTCTTGGGGAAACCAAAGAATGACATGACTGTTGGTGGCCCACAAATCTTCCTCCTCAACACCAAAAGCTGTTCACAGAGCTGGCTTGGCTGCAGGAGGAAGGACAACACCGAGTCCCACAGGAACAGAAAAGCTGACGCCCAGTGGGGGGAAACGGAAGCTGGATTCCGGAACTCATTCCAGGCCTGGGACTCGTCAGCGAAGGTGGGACAGCAACCCCAGGGGGAGCCACATCCAAATCCTTCCTTCCCCCTCCTCCTCCACGTCACTGGAGAGGCAGCAGAGTGGAAAGAAAAGGGTAAGGACTGGAGTCCGGGAGGTGGTGTCTGCACCTGTGACGTGGGCTCACATGCTAGTGTGCTCCATAAACGTGGGCCCTCTCACTGAGCTTCTCCAAACGGCCTTTCATTTTTATCTCTTGGGCCCCAACAGTCTGGAGAAGACAAAGAAAATACATTCAAGGAAGAACAGCCTCTCCTGGAATCTCCTCTGCCAGTGTTTCCTACAGAAAAATGAGTGGGCTGCTTCCCCGGCCTCCAGAGAAAAAGCCCCACGGCCCCGTGCTGTCTGTCCGAGTTCAAACTCCGCCAGGCCCACCCTGCTAACCCAGGTCGCCAGCACCTTGTTCCTAAACCTCTGTGGCAGCCTCGCGGTCTGACCTGTGAGTCCCTGCCTTGCTTCTCCCAAGGCAGC